TTCAGAAATGGAAAAAAACAGAAAAAAAAAGTATCTTTTAAAATCGTTTCCGACGTTATTGATTTATTTATTTATAATTGTATGTACATAATAACTCGTTAAAAAAAAAATCTTGTGATAAATTCATATTTTCAACAATCTTGTAAACCATATAAACAATGATACTCAAATAAATATCTAGATTTTAAAAAAATTTATGGCAAGTGTTACTTATGGCGAATGTATTATGGCAAATGTAATTATGGCAAAAGTATTTATGGCAAAAGTATTATGGCATATGAAACTGAGCTCTTCATAGGAAGTTATTGTAGTGGAACAAAAAATCCAGTCCAAAAAAACGCGACATCTTTCATATCATTAGCTTTATATCATCAATCTTAGATCAGTTGAAGGAAGAGGTATATTTGGTTTAAAGATTGGAAGTTCCCCCCTGGGAACTGAAACTAGAGCTTTGTGGATAGATGGAGGAATACATGCTAGGTCAGTATCTAAAGAATAAGGCAAAAATAATGATATATATAAAGATTAAAATTTCCCTGTATGATAACTGACGAACTGCAGTAATTTTTAAGAATGTTAATTATTTGAAATTAACTTGTTTTGGGGAAATTGTACTGACATCTAAAAATGTTTTTAAAACTAAAATTCACAAAAATCACTTTGTAAACATAGTACTTGAATATTATATTATACAGCGAAGTTTCATTTTTCTAAATAAACCATGGAAACTTTTAACAGATTCTTTAAATTATCTTTTTGTGATTATTGGAAAGAAATAGGACACACTCATAAAAATGGATTCAATTATTTGAATGAATTGAAAGTTATAAAGAATTAACAGTAATGAAGTAATTTGAAGGACTGTAATTGTTGTCTTCCAGTCTGGGGAGAACCAAATCTAATATGTTTATATAGTTCTTTAAGTCATGTTGCAACTTAGACCTCAATATATATAAAGTTCGTTTATTTTCTTCAATTATTTGTTGCTACATTTTGGTGACCCCTAGCCAGACCCCAAGGCGGGGGTAGGAGGCCTTGATTTGGCTTCAAGTCAGGGGGTTAGGGCGCCGCTGAAGTCGGGGCAACATAGCTATTTAGGAAGCCGTTAATAGACCAGCAAGGCATGAGTGAAGTCCTACCTCAATATCTGCCACATCATATTTCTAATGAGTTCTCATCAGTCCGGGGGCCCTTATGTTGCTATCTCTCTGTCTATCTATCTCTGCATCAACAGATGTGGAACAAGAATTGGAATGTGTTGATAAAACAGGATCATAGAAGCCGCTAAAGATGGTCAACTGAACCTGCACCTGCAGCTGACTGACCCCACTTCCCATCGGAGAAATGACCATCATAGAAGCCGCCAAAGATGGTCAACTAAACCTGCCCCTTTAGCTGACTGACCCCCCTTCCCTCGAAGAAATGACCGGCCAGGTTGGATAGAAGAGAAAGGTGGGGTGCCAGGATATAAAAGGAGACCTAACAAAGAATAAAGTTATTTGCGATGAAAGCCTCTTAGAAAGAGTAACCAAATCCCTCCTGCTTCAGGAAGGAGGGGTCAGGAGGGTAACCATGTGGGGCCAAAGTTTGAAGGCTGCTTCAGCAGGTTAGAGTTCCGAAGCCATGAGAGTCACTGAGGAATCCAGCTAAGAGATCAGATTCAAGATGGACCAGTCGAGTCTATAAATCCAAGAGTCCGGAGTCCGAGTCTTCAAATCCGATAGACCCATATCCAGCCCTCACCCCTTTAAGTAGAATTGTAATTTATGTTAACCTTTAATTTTGTTTTATGCAATTAGCCAGGTTTCTTCTTGGGACTTTTATGGATCACCTTCCTGCAGAGTTTAGATCCCATCTCCTGATGGAGATGATTGCTGATCCTTGATGGATGGCTACCAGAGCAGGCTATGGACAGTACAAGGAAGGGTTACACTGTGCAATCTCTCTCATCTCAGGATATTGAGGATGTTTCCCTTGTGTCCCGCAGGCCCAGGACAAGGGCATTCTCTAGTGGAGCTAAAACAAACAGTCCAGGTCCATCTACATCCTACTCCTCCTCCTCAAAGTGTTAGTATCATCACCGCTGGGGAAACCAGGCAAACCAGTGCAGATCACCATTTTCCCAGATGGGAAATTAGTTGACATGGTTAACACAGTTCCCACCAAATCTTCTTCCTTACCTTTGTTATTCCTCAAGAACAGGCTGAGTATCCACGAGAAATCCAAGTTTCTCGTGGATACTGGTGTTTCTATGTCTGTTTTCCCACACCTGCCCCGCTCTCCTTCAGCTCCAGATTCTGGAATCCTGTAGAGAACCTCTGACGGTTCCCCTCTGAACATCTATGGTTCCTGCTGTTTCATCTAACTCACCCAACAGCAGTTCAGATCTAGACACATCTCTTCTTTCTACCCCCGATGAGTTCTGTGATCTCCTGTCCGAGTATCCAGATGTAGTTTCCTCCAAGTGTTTCTTTGCCTCAGATCCGAAACATTCCATCTGCCACACCATTCCAACCCTGCCTGGCCCACTGGTGTTAGCCGCTCTGATGCAGAGAAGCTGGAATCAGCAAGAAAGGAGTTTGCAGCTATAGAATATAACGGGATTATTCAACATTCTTCTTCTCCTTGAGCAAGCCCTGTACATATGGTGAAAGAACCTGATGGTTCCTCTAAACCTTGCCACAATTTCTGCTGTGTCAACACTCAAACCATTTCTGACAGGTATTCCTTGCAAATATTGCAGATTTCTCAGCTAGGCTCCACGGCAGTGCAAGGTGTTTACTAAGTTAGATCTAACCTAAGGATACTATCAGGTTCCAATATCTACAGGAGACATTCCTAAAACCCCAGTGATTATGCCTTTTGTCCTGTTTGAGTCATTGAGGATGCAAATTTGGTCGCATTGATCTGGCTCCAAACTCCTCAGTAACACATCTTCAGGTATCCTCCACCCACTGGTTCCAGAGAAGATGAGAAGGTCTGATTTCAAATCAATTCACAATATTGCTCATCCAGGCAGGGGTGCTTCTCAAAGACTGGCTTCAGGAAGTTTTGTCTGAGAAGGTCTCTCTAAAGGACGTCAATTTGTGGTCTCAGTCCTGTCTCAGTTGCCAGCTGAGCAAGATTCAAACCCATATTAAGTCTCCTACTCAACAGATCCTGGTTCCTGGACCAAGGTTTTCACATATTCATATAGATTTGGTTTGACCTCTTCCTCAATACTGCAAATATACTTTCCTTTTGTTACGCGAGCCATGCTGCGTATAGAAAGTCTGTTTGTCGCCCCTGTGTATTTCTGAGTTCCATTAAATATGTACATATGTTTATATGGGTTATAGCAAGTGTTTACTATCCATACAATTTTGATGCGAATGCAGATCCAATCTAGATCCTGGATCAGCACTGTAAAATAATAGATGGATCCTGGAAGCCAAAATCATTTGAATTCAAAAGATCCAAATCCGGACTGGAACAAAAATGAATCCGAATCCAAAAAGCCAAAATGCGGATCCAACAGATCCAGATCCTTTAAGCTCTGGTTATAGCTGTACTATAAAGTGTGTACACTATGTACACATAAACTATACTATAGGTAAACTTATAATTAAATATGTTTCCTACATATATCAGGGAGCTTCATGAATGTCTCGGTCGTTCTATTGGTAGTTGGTTCTGGAAAATAATTTCAATGTATATAATACTATATTTTAATCTAACAAAATATGATATTAATTTTTCCATTTAAAAAACATTTCTCACCCAAAACTGCATAGTTCGTGTAAAGGGCCACCCATCTCTCCTTGTCTAAAAAATATGATATTAAAAATTTTAAATCATATTAATAATTTTAAACTTTACAATTTAGGTCACTACCCTCTCCCCTTATTTTTTCCTTTTTTCCTTGAGTTAGCTTTGACACACTTAGCTTTTCTACACATTTTTCTTGAAGGTGTGGAGGGGGGGGAGACATGCTACACATTTTTAGTTATTTAGGACATAGAGAGGGGGAATGGGACATCTGGCATCCTGTAAATTTTTCTTCATTCACTATTTGTGAAAAAAATAGATAGTGTAAAGCTCAAATCCCCTTTCAATTTTCTTCTTCAAAGTTTTCTTCTTCTTTCCTGTTTGTTTTGTTTTTTTTCTGTCAAATTTTTTTCTTCTTCCTTCTTGATTCTTGTTTTTACACTTTAAGGCCTTTCCAAATAGTTCTTTTGACATCAAGTTGTGGAGCAGGCAGGAAAGAGATAAGGAGGTTTGTAGGAAGAAGGGTATAGGGGATTGCTCCCTGTGTTCCTTCATTTTGATCAGTTTCCCAATAAAGGGGGATTAAGGAAACCCATGACTACACCCCTTATGTAAAATGAGGACTTGTGAGTAGGGTTGTTAATTGTTTTTGTAAACGATCATTAAACAATCGTTTTTGTTTTGTTCTCAAAAACGATCGTTTCGTTTTCGGAAAAAAAAAATTGTTTTAAAAACGACCCACTCGTTTTGAACTTTTAGAAAACGAATAGTGATCGTTTTTAAAAACGTTCATTTCGTTTTCGATTTTTCGTCGTCGTTTTCATAACGAAATGATTGTTTTTCTGAAAAATGAAAACGTTAACATCCCTACTTGTGAGCCCTGAAAGCTCTCTTGAGAGGAATCTTCCAAAGCAGTCCAGTCCTCACATCTGGTCAAAAAAACAGTTTTGTAATAAAGATTCATTCATTTGATATTAAATGATCTACGGTACACATAATTTATTAAAAGTAAGATACAAACTGAATATGATACTAATGATAAAATAATATTGAAGATGAGAAGTCAGAGCTGCAGATCTCGTATTCGTTCTCATTCTTCAAGCTGAGATGGTTGATCACCAACTAACTCGTCTCCCGGGTATCAGTCAACCTGCCGGGTTCACGTTGGGAATCCCTAGCTTTATCAAACTCCCTAAGTCAACACCCAATCTACCTCCGCTACTAGCACCCAAACTAGCGTCAGGTAGATAAATCGGGTTTTAAGCTTGGCATCATTCTATTTATACATATTTACAATCAGGGTGTTTATTTTTAACCCTGGGATCATGAAATTCCTGCTTCCGCTACAATACCAATCATTCTCAACAAATCTAGCTGGCAAGGATACCTTTTGCTGTCTGGAAAATCTTTAAACAATTAAATATACATGGATATGGGAAAATCTGCTACTAGGAACTAGAATCTGTAGAACTGGAACTTTGATGTGAACCTGGAGAGAACTGTTTTGGTGGCAGAGAAAGACTTATTCATTCCCAGATTCCAGAAGTGATGATTTGCTGATGCTCTTCAGTTGAAACAAGTTTAGAATACCCAGGAACCATTGGAGACCCTTCCCATCCATGGAACAAGGGAAATGAGAGATAATCTCAGTGTGCACACACCCTGAGCTGGAGACACCCATCCCAAGATACTTAACCTCGGGAGCAGCAAACAAACACTTCTCTGGTTTATACTCAGGCCCTGTATACAGAGCCGGTCTAGAACTTCATGAACATGGAGTAGGTTGTACTCTGCATCAGAGCTGGCTATAAGAATGTCATCAATATAGATAAAGTAGTAGGAAAGGTCATCCAGGATCATATCCATCATGCACTGGAACATGCAACCAGCATTATATAACCATTGTCTCTCCATCTACGTTGATACCAGCACTTTGAGGATCCATGGTCTCAGTTTGAGGTTGAGTTTGTTGAAATTATTGACTGGCTCCGGAAACCTCAAGCATAACTACTATGAGGAATAGCATTTACATCTTCAAATTGATTATCAGAGAGAGTTTGAACAGAGGCTCCCAGTCCTCAAATCATACAGAGATCATTAGCATGCTGAGCCATACCAGGGGGATCATTGATGAATTCTGAGAGTAGGTGGATTCAGACATAAGCTGGAAGCCTATCCATGAATAAATCACGGAGCAGGATAAAAATCTTGTCCATAAGCTCAGAGGGGCGTTTATTAGAGAGGAAAGGCAGACTCTGTAGTGCCTGATATCGATGGAAATTACTTAAAGTATATATTTGGATAAGACACCTTCTCAGAGCTTCATAAGGATCTGCTGTAGGGACCTGACCAAATCCAGGAGCTGGCAGGCAACATCCTGTGGCAGAGAAGCAAGGCAGTGTGTAAACTTGGTTCATGATGAGGTTACTCAGAAAAGGCCTA